TAATTGGTAATTGATAGAAGTCTTACTCATCTAAAAGACACTTCATAAACACTTTTAACACTTTCAGCCGAGAAGATTATGTGCACTCGAAGGAGATACTTACCACGTGCGTTGCTTCTCACATTATATCATATATGGCTTGTAGAGAACTTCGAACACACGTTGTATACATTATATACCCATATATATATACAGATTTTCGGATGAATCCTCTGGAATGAGGCTGTTGTTTAGTACAGAAAACGCAGTGATTTGTGTGTATATGCGATTAAAGTGCGAAGTTGAGTTTAATTCCGACGAATTCGTAATTAAGCAGTTTAGTGAAGAAGCATGAAAACTAGAACCAACGCAGATCCGTCTCGAAGATAAGCACGCAGCTGATGCTCGTAGGATCTCTCAAAGCCTCAAGGTGTATTGTCAAACTAAATTTCAAACTGTTGACTGCAGTTGTGAAGCGGATATATAAAGATGCACTCGGACAATGGTAAACAAATAAGAAGAACATTCATTTATTGGCTACAACGAATATATACATTCATAAATGAGATCATTCATAGATGAGTTTATAAATATTAACATTAAAGGTTTGATCAACATTTATCAATTGCTTTTCGTTGTCAATCGCAAACATTATAGTTGGTATGTTATAATGAGTTGATTGCTGCGCATCATTTCTAATATCACAGCAAATAATTTCTTCATTATTACCACAAAAAAGCAATCCTCCAGTTGGTTCACAGCAAGCCATTTGTAAGCCCCATTCGAGCACTCTTACCCGTTGGCCATCTTGTGTTAATAGCTTAGCCTTAAAATGCAATAAGGAAAATTCAGAAACAAGAACGAAGAATTGTTATATTTTCATGTGGAATCAATGATGTGTTCAGCAGTTACCTTTCAAGTATGATGGAAAGGAAAGAAAAGATGAACCTTAGCTGATGGCGTGATAACGAGTAGGTATGGTGAGCAATACATAAGCCTCTCAATACCCTCCATCTCACAAGCGATTGTCATCAGCCGCGTCAAGTCAGGTAGACCAACACTCCAAATCGCACCTGTTTCGCTAGCGACAAGAACTGTATCGTCGATAACGCATAGCGATGTTATTCCTCAACGAGCATACGCTAATTAATTAAGCAACAAGCCGTCACAGTCGTTACCCATTAATTCATCGCTTACTTCACAGTATCTTGCTACAGCAACGCTATCATTAACAAGCAAAAACTAAATTTCTAGATAGAATATTTCTAGATAGATAACAACATCAGTGTATTTTCATTTTCATATGAGCTAGATATTTCCGTGTGATGAACTCAGCTAGAATCTCAGGTAGACTTGCATCTCTTCTTGCAAACCATTTTAGTTGGTAGCGACAGAACGACTTGATTCAACTAGATCAGGTCAAGTTGTACTGGACAAAGTAAATGTTCATGAATATGATTTATGAAAGAAGAACCTGTAGGTCTTGAAGATGCATTTGACTTACGAATCTTTCTCGGTAAATCACTGACTCGAATCGTTAGGGAACACTGCCGTTCAAGCGAATTGGCTTTAAGGAGATGCATGACAACAGTGCCATCAAGAGATGCTGATATTATTGACGTTGGTGATAACCATTCCAGAGATGTTACTGCTAATTGATGCGCCTTAATTGGTTGCATTCACAAATCAGTGTTGTTTCACTTCGTAATTATAGAAGTACTGTGAAATGAGCATATTACCGAATTTGGATAAAACAGTTCTTCATTCTGATATTTCAGTTGATAGTGGAAAGTCGATGTTTAACTTAAACTGTTTGAATAGGACTGAGGAGTTATAGGATAAAACAATGGTAGTACTGAAATACAGAAACATTCATTAGATCAAAGTTGTTTTGATGTGAATTTCATTTGAACAATGTAATTGTTTATGTTCATTTTGTGGATAACTTAATCAGTATTTCATCCTAAAACCGCAAAATACGCTCACCTCAATTGAGAACCGAATTTCATTGTCGGTTGTGATAAGCAGCTGGCCAGTAAACGTTGCCATTGCAAGCAACCCTTGGTTACCAAATCTAAAAATTCCAGATAGATACGACAAAAAAAAAGATGATGTGATTTCGTTTCGAGTGATACTGAAACGAGCACAGTATGTTACTGAATGAAAGGTGTCGCTTCAAGAGCGCATCCGAAATTAATGTATACGTTCTCCTTATGAAAAAGGAACAGGGATGGCATCTCCAACCGGTTACCAACGAAAGCTCGAGCAACTTCAAGAACAAAAACTGAGTTCTGTTGATCAGTGTCCAAGCCAAAAGAAACAGTCCCATCCGAGTGCCAGGTGCTTAAGTTAGAAGAGCACGAGCTAGACGTTGTTTGTTAGCTTCTCTGTACCTCAGCCAGAATCGCGCAGATCAGATGTTGGAGATTACATCCTGTGTGCTAAAGCCAATAGAAAGGATTCGCACAAAGCATTTATCCCAGACTGAAAGAGGCGGGTGTTGTGGATTAGCTCTTGCATAATTTTTAAGTGTTTAATAATAATTCACTGCAATTTCAAATGTCATTACTTTGATGTCCATTGCTATTGTTAATTGTAAGTAAAATAAAATCTGTCACTTGTCGTCTCATAAACTCATCTCAAAACCAAAATATTTCACGGCCTCATCTCATACGATGCAAACTCGAGCTGATTGTTTGCATGCGATGTGCTAACGTCGAATATACATCTCTCCATTGTCTTCTTTAGGCCACGTTGTTTTCTCATGCTCCCACTAGCCATACTTATTGCTAATGCTGTTTAGTACTCGTAAGATTTTTTAGGTCACTATTTCATCCATATCTAATAAGAGTTTATTGAACGACTGAACAACCCTACCTTACAGCTGACGGGCATCCAGGTAAGGATATAGAAGCTAAACTTTCTCTGCGATGAATCAACACTCTAGAATCATGTGAGCACCATGAGTCATGATAAATCTCTCCGAGTAAGAATGCGATACGTCCTCTTGAACCACATTCCATTCCTATCAGTGATTCATCATTTCTGATCTAAAACATAGGATTAATAAAATAGCTGACACAATTATTGAATGTAATTATGATATGATCAATAAGTGAGATAAGATTACTGTGAGTATTAAACTAACCTGTTTTAAGTGAAATTGCTTAATTAGAGATAGACAAACACGATGTGTTTGATGGAATACATTAAGCGAATTAAGGATTGATTCATTGTGAATGCTGCTTTGCAAGGCATCCAGCATCCTTTCAACAACATCTTTATCAATTGTTTGAATGATTGATCTTGAATAGGCACCGAATTTCAGTTGTTGATTATCTGTTTGGACGGATACACTCTTTTTCTCGAACCAATCAACCGCTACTTCGCGAACGCTCAACGCATCAGTTTGTACACATTCTTCCGTTGTTACATTTTTTCTTTTCCATATTGGATCAATGCAAATCGATTTACTCGGACTGTCATCCATCCACCAAATTCAGTTTCAGCTATAAAATATTCAAATTAAGTATTTATTCATCAATTTTATCATTCATCGTCAATGTTCATGAACCTGTAAGATTTAATATCATCAAACCGAGACTAAATCGATTACACAGTCAATCACTCGATTTCACGTGCTACAAGCAGCATTGCAGACGATCAACAATTCTTGTGTTTCGTCAGTCGCTCGCTTGTGTGAACCTGTGCATCGCTTATAACACATTCATTTTATTTTTGGTATTGAAGAACTTCTGAGTCGGGAATTATTGTTGTGAAAGAGTTGGAATCGATTGGCTTAGAGTAAATTGCATGATAACATGTAGCAAGCATTCGTAACTAAGCAACCAGCCATGATGTAATGAAGGAAGCTGAAATAAGGTCAAAGATGTTAGTGAACATGACCGATTGAGGAGTTCGTTGACCACAGTACATTAATAAGCTGCCTTTAAGACCAAAAGTCCTAGATACTTCAGTGGGTCATGATATGATTCAAGGAATGATTTAAATGAAATAAGATTGTATGCGCGAATAACTCAATTGTTGTCGCTAACATAGTTGAGTCGTGAATGTAAGTAATATGGAATATGATGTTGCTAATGCTGATCATTAGAATTATTTTGTTTTTCAAACTAACAATTGATCGGACAATATTTTAACCCTTGAATGCCTGAATGGTTCGTTAACGGCTCGGCGACCATTTTCCAGCACTCGTTCTTGGGATAAGTTAACTCAAAATATCTGGTGTTTCTCATGCTATTGGTCTTTATTAACACTGTATCCTTTTGGTGGTAAATTGCCCTCGTGCTGACCATAAAACCAAATTTTGTTTCTGAAATAATGAGACCATTCGCGACCCACTCGAATAATACTGCAACTTTTTTGATACGCGGGGTCACTTCGGCAATGTATCTACATTGGTAGGAAAAATACCGTTAAGTGTGATATATTGCGTGTGTGATGGCAACTGGTTGTCCATACACTGTATTGCTCAGTCGGTTTTGTTACATTACAGTTTTTCAAGTCATTTTTGTATTCTTTCAATGTAGCATTATTCTCCTAGTTTTTCTGAAATGTTTGTAAGTGAGGCTCAAAGTGTAAGACGACATTCTGAAGAGTTTTTTTACGAACTTACAAGAAAGCACTGATATTGGTAATATATTTTGGTAGTCTTTGGATTTTATCATCATACTAACGGAAGAAAGAAGTTTATGATTGTATTATCAACAACGTGGTTTTTACAAAGACAAGTAAGGAGAATCAGAAGCAGTTCTGATGAGCGAGAATGCACAAAAACAATTCTGATAAGGAAAATCTAATTGGTGACCGCGAAACCGAAGAAGTCTTCAGTCGATTTGATCTACCGTGTCAGTGTCCAAAGATTATCAAATGCAGGCCACTTGCTCACTTTATCAATATTCTTCATATCAATTCATAAACGAAATCCTTTTTTCAAATTTTCGTGATGGCAAACACGTTGCACAACTAAAGCTAAAGTTATCCAAAATTGCCTGCTTATCCAAATTGCGTCATCGCCACATTTGTGTCACCGTTCATTCACTCACCCGTAAACCGTTCACCCAATTACCCATTTATTATTATTGTAAATTATTATTGTTATTATTATTGTTATTGTTATAATTGTTATTATTTATTATTATTACTATCATTGTCATTGTCATTATTGTTAAATCGGTTCGGCTCTCTTTAGATCGATTAATCACGCAATAATCCATTGTTGTTATATGTCGGAGGCAGAATACCCCTTCCAGGAATAATCACAGCATACGAGGTCACGCTCATATCTGGACAGCCACCGGAATGGCGGCGGGCGAAGGTTCGTCATCGCCGATGCCTTCACCTGGACAAAGGCTAATGGGCGATCGCAATTTACAGTTTCTTACACCAGAATATCAGGTGCAACGTGAACAAAACAACTCATTTACAATTTAGCCAATTATTAATAGTTTTAATGAAACATATATGACTGCAACAAAATGTTTCAAAAATTGTACCCGCTGCAGATTTGCTAATAATAACCTACACATTATTAGTAATATTACAAATAAAAAATTTAAATAGATCAATTCTTTGATATTCCATATAATAGCAATACAAAAAGCATTGCGTTATTTGCCACAAACATAGTTTCCGACGTGTACGACAAGCCAGTCAACCTCTCAAAAAAGATCTGTTGAACATAAACTCCCTTCAATTGCACAACTAATTAATTATTCATACCTCTTCACTTGCACTACAATTTCTACTGATAAAGATTACTCGGTTCGAATACCGGAACACGTTTGAACAATTGAATATTTTTATTAATGAACACGCACTTTTGAAATGAATATGAAAAACGTTATGAAAATAGATTTTTACGAGAAAATAAATTTTATTTTAAAACAACAGAACATATTTCAACAACAATATCATGAAAAAAACAACAACAAAACGTTTCAACCGCAAAAAAATCATCGAAAGTTTATCAAACTCATTCGGTTGAATTGAAGAAATCAGTTGTCACAGAATTCAATCACACAGAAATGAAAATATAACAGTCACGAACGGAGAAATAAAACAGTACGAAGAATGTTCCAAAATTTTTCGTATATTATCGTTCTCTACCTCACTTCGGCAAAACTAAAAACATCTTTCACTGAGTGCAAGTGTTCATCACCAAAAAATCCTTCTCCTCGTAAAGTGTCACTTTCGAAAACTATCCGAACACATATATTTCATATTATTAAAACTGTCCCCAATGAAAAATACGTCACTTACGCGGGTAACATTTCTAGACAAATTCAAGGCGTTCCCATGGGAGGTAACGCTAGTTCTGATATAGTGCACCTCACTCTTTCCGCTATGGAATTTATGTATTGCAAAATCCCCCACAACAGCATCAATATTGCACGGTATTTTAAGCATTAACGTGAATGACTTTGCCACTAAAGCACGAAACATTTACGAAGACCAGCTTGAACTTGATATTACACCTAATGCCAGCAGTGTTGATCTTCTCGATATTAGCCGATGTATCAACAACGGACATGTACAAACCGACGTATACGATGAAACCAATTACTTCAGCTTCAACGTTAATAAAGTTACCAACTTGAGCAGTAACGTTTTCTTTTTTAAAAACTATCCGTTATAAAAAAACTTGAGCGGTCTGAAAGTGGAAAATTTGCATTTGAATACAGAAAGTACCCAATTGTTCTTTATTATCCATTACTTCATTAATCCATGACCCTTCACCTCGATTGGCCCAACTAATCCAAGAGATTTCATCCTTGTTCTCCACCGTTAGCTCAACGTCCCCTGAGGCCATCCGTGACCTGGGTAATCCCCAACACTTTGCTCCTCCTTCAACTTTTCCGTATTCGCAGCTTGATTTAAGTTCCGAATTCATACCACTCATACCAGTGTCTAAAATCGAACCGCTTACAACTACTAATCGAAGTGCTGCTGAAAAATGGGCAAAGGTTTTCTCAAGAACCGTGATTCCATGCAAATGTGGAAAGAACCATTAAGAAAATGTGGAAAGA